TATCATTCTATTTGTTTCTATTATTATCAAGTTATAATTCTATTTCTGTTTGTATTAGCCAGGTTTGGATTTATGAGGAGATTGATCTTAGTGTTAACATTATTCAGTGAGTCTGTCACTTCTTTGAACCAGCACTCGCATAATGTTCCTTCTTTGTTAACATTCTAAAAGAGGCATATACGAATTTAACCATTTTTCTAATTTTGACTCTATATTACCTAGGACTTGGGAATTTAGGTGTTTCATAAAGAGTAATTTATTAAAAGAAAATTTTAATGTTCTATAGTGTTGCGACTTGTTTTCTTTTCCTTTTTTTCCCAGGCTTTCTTTTTATTTTTGTGCAATACATAAAGTTTTTATACTGTTGACCTCAACGGCGAGTCTGTCACTAATCCAGACTAAGACTTGTGTGATATTGGATAAATGGGTCTATGTCACTGGCAATATCAAAGGTACATATGGTGATAATTATTCTAATCTTCCCTTACATTTAGCTAGTCTCCTCCTCTAATCCTTTCCCTATTGAACTACAAGGTCCTGGATTCTTCTTAAGGCAACTAAAGACAAATGAGGTAAGTTTATTAATTATCATTACATAAATACAAACACTTGACTTTTTAATTCTCTCTTTTTTTTTATATTTGAACATCATTGCTATTTATATGACTGCGACATGTCTCTAAATCTATCATCACATTATACAGAATTGCTAAACTTTGACAAGTTTTGCGCCTATCAATTATATATGATTGATATATAATCGATACCTCATATGGTACCACACTGGACCCTACATGTCATATTATGCCCCTTACTATAATTTTTATGCTAACAATACATACTTTTGCTATATGATTATATAATTATTATTTATTAATAATAATGATAAAAAGTATAAATAAAAAGTATAATCTAAGCTATTGTTTCATATGACATAATTATTATCAACCTTTTCTTCTTAAAAACAATTGGAATCTTAATCATATTACACATAATCACACTACGCAATATAATTGTTAATACTGGCTTGAGTCGTCTGTTGTATATCCCTCTTCAGAGTCAATTAATAATGAAACTAGGGTAAATATTAGAAGTGGTTAAGAGCATTAAGCCTATTTTTCTTTTTCTTCCAGTTTATTGAGCCTGTTTTCAATTCTTTCCAATAGGCAGGTTATGTAAATTTTAATCTGTTTTATTGTATCGAACAAGGGAGAATTGAGATGTGCTAAATGTTGTTTTGACTTTTTTTCCCTTGGAAGTGTAGTTATTGCTAGAAAAATCTTCAAAATGTGTACTTTAAGAGACTTTACTCATAAGATTATTGTGAAGCATTACTTTGAAATATTAATGATTTTATAACTATAGAATTTATTATATATGCAATACTAGTATAATGGTGTAATGACAAGTCTGTCGCTTACTCTAGCGGAAATTCATGTAACCATTATTAGGTAAGTAAATGAAAGAATGATTTGAGGTATGTTTTATTTGATCAAGTCTTTATTAATTTTCTTCTCTAATTGTTTTCTTACTTTCTATCTTTTATATACTATTTATACTTCTCTTCCTTTACATCTGGCTATAGCAACTTAGCCATAGAATAATATATGCTAATACAATGGTATAGCTAAAGCTAGATGACATAATTCTTTTTCACATTCCTTTCCATCTCTCCCTAATTACCTATTATCACAACCATTTTGTCATTAACATAATAATCAGTTATGTGATAAATGTCGCATTCCATTTTTATCTGTTACATTCCCCTATGCTTATCATAAGTATACCATACATTTTTCTTTTCTCTTTATATGATCAGTTTCTTTCATAATATTTCTTTAGGTTCTGGATATTAATTAGAGAAATAAGCATCTTGCTGTTCATTGTGTGCAACTGTTATACATGGTCAGATAATTGATTATGTATATAAAATAGTTCTTGTCACTTAAAATCAAACTTGTTGCTTTTTGAATATTTGTAAGGCGGCTCTATACATGAGGACTTTGTCTCCTATACTGTATTCTAGAAATCTCAGGTATCACTTGTCATGGTAAGTTTTCTGTTAGGCTTGAGTTTGCTGTATATGGTGAATTACTGTTTGTCAGATCTCTCTTTTTTTTATTTTGATTGTTTCCTTATTGGTCTTATTTATTATAGCTCTTGCAGTTTTGTCAATTCAGCATTTCTCCTGTAATTCTGAAAGCTTGTTATCGCAATTTGTTATCCATGCTATTGGAGATTCATCATGATAAGTATGGCTTAATTGTTGGCTCTATTCCATCTAATTTTGTTAGTTTCTTCAGGATGAAAGGTACAATCATGATTATAATTACAGCTATGACAGCTTCCTGATATTGTTTCTTTTTCGAAGCCAGCATCTTATCAATGGTAAGTGATTTCTTTTTGTACATGATTGCTTCTGGTTTCATTCTTGCTCTCTTCATTTTCTTCATAAGTAGAAGATGGTATACAATCATAATCATAATCATAATCATAATTATAATAATATCCCAGTATTTCAATCATTAGGACCATATTTGTTAGTATTGTTAAATATATATATATACATATATATTTTAGATGTACATTATCAGTTGTCGACTTTATAATGTTACCGGATACAATAAGTCAGTTGCTAATCTGAAATGAAGACTTGTGTATCGATAAGGATAGGGTTATGTATCGCTTGCTTAATCAAAGGTATGTATTAATAACCTTCATTCTCTTGTATTGCCAGTTTAATTCTCTGCCATAATTTCTTTTGGGCCTCTAGGATTCCTATAATGGTACAAAATGATATTTTATTTAATAAGTGATATTCTTCCTTACATTTTTAACCAGCTAATTCTAACTATATTTATACCTATTGCAACGCATCTGCTAATCTATCATTGTGTCATGCAAATTAAACTTTTGGCTGAATAGACTTTTCTATTCATGATCTGCTGTTTCACATCTAATCACGTAACTATCAGTTATCTGGATCAACCTGGATATTTTTCCTACTAACAGTAGGATAAAATTTTTTTTTTGCAATTGTGATCATATTTATAATAGAATTTCAAATCATCAGTCTTGATCAATCAAATAAGTTGTGACATTTTTTTTTTGCAAGATTCTACTGTTGGCTTTTAACTTTTTCTTACCAATCTTTCCCTAGCCTTATGCTCTCACATTTAATTTGTCATCTGCAGGTTCTCTTTAATCCTTAGCAACATCAATGTCCCTGGCATAAGCTACCAGAGTCTTGTCAATAAGTTTGATTCTTTGCTATTAGTTTTTTTACTATTCTTTTCTCAGATGGTCCTCATTTCCCTAAATACTTATCTGGAGCTTCTTTCTACATCACAACTTCTTTTTTGCAATCATCAGCATGGTTTCATACTAGATACTTCACAGTTTATCTTTTCATTGATTGTTGTTTCTTTTTCATGATTACAATTTACTACTTGATCTAAATTGACTAACTTATTATTCCTTCTTGATTCATTCACAACTTCCACAGTGTCAACACTCTTTTGTTAGTTTCAAGTGCATTTACTTTTATCTGTTTTCAAAACTCTAACTATACTTTACTAACAATCTTAGTCATCTTAAAATTAATTCTTCCCAGTATAATGGCGCAAATGAATAAGATGTGGGCAAATCTTGTACATAATAGGAATGTTGATGTACATATGAAATGTTATCTGGATATAGCAAGACTTGTTTATTAAAAATATGTTATAAATGCTTCTCTCTTTCTCTTTTTTTTTTTTATTAATTTTTTATTAGGAAGTGGCACATACTGTATATCACTGATCTCATAATTATCAGTTTTTATGCTTCACTTTTCTTTTGCATAAGCATTCTAGAGCTTTCCTAATTGATTTGGGATTTCTTTTAGGTCAGAACAATGCTTCTTCCATTATTTGATATATACCAGTAGTCGAATCTTTCATAGATATCATTATTGAAGTGAGAGTTATTGTTAATTTAAAATAAATGGAGAAATTGATTAATCAATTACTATATAATCATAAAAATATTATTGATATAAATGATTATATTGAAATTAATAATTTATTTGTAAATTTAAATATTACAAATAAAGATACAACTAGAAAAACTCTTTTTGCTAATCCCCTTGCCAACCCAAAAAACAGATGTTCTCAAAAATATTTTTTATTTTTAATAATAAAGTCTATATACTTTCCTTAAAAATATTACTCCCTGAAGGCAGGTGCCTCCCCTACTTGTTTACCCTTCTTTCTTTGAAAAACTTTGAATATTTTAATGATAAAGTAAACAAAACTTTACCCATTTGGTCTATGGCAAGAACACCTTACTGGGAAGAAAAAACCTGTAGAAAAATATCCTCTACTATTTTCTCCTTAGGTTAGGAATTTCAGAAAATAAATCACTAGCAAATGCATTTTCTAAGCTCTATAAGAACCTTGGGTCCATCATAAGTAAACAACCTTTGGTCTAAGGCAGGTGGATAAGCTAGTTGGGCCTAAAGATGGGTCCCTAAATTATTTGTGAGGATATAATTCAAATGTCCCTTACTATTAAAAATTTTCATTTCTATAT